AAAAAAAAAAAAAAAAAAAAAAAAAAAAGGCAATGACTTTACCATAAAGCACAAATTCACAATCTCAGGGAAGAGTTAAGACAATAAAAGGAGCTGAAACATGTATATTCACAATCAGGAAAGAGCAAAAGCAAAATTTCAAATTTACCACTAAAAGGAAAAGAGATTTGGAAGGAGCACAAGATAGAGTCTGTACCAATGGTGGTAAACCTATGGCCCGTGTGCCACAGCGGGCTGTCTGTGATCTATACTAAAAACAATAGCAATAGCTGTGGGGAGTAGAAATAAGAGGAGCAAAGAGAACAAATGAAAAGTTAAAAAATTGGAAATGCTTAAAAAGAATTGAGATATAAACCACAGGGAAAGTTATTTCAACATATACAGTTTGGAGTTTAATAAAACTAAAATAGTGGAATAGAATAATAGAGAAATAATTTAAGAAAACTCCAAAGAATTAACAGAAGCTTGGGCCAGGGCTTTAGCTCAGTGGTTCTGCCAACTGCCTTGCAAGAGCAAGGACCCGAGTGCAATCCCCGGTACCAAAAAATAAATAAATAAAGAAATAATAGAAGCTTTATATGCACTAATGAAATAGTGCACCACATACTACAGAAAAATGCCAAGTGGTTTACATAGAGATATATCTCAGAAAAGTCACTGGAGCCAGGGATGTAGCTCAGCGGCACCACGCCTGCCTGGCCAAGTGCAAAGTCCCGAGTTCAATAAACGGTACTGGGAAAAAAAAAAAAAAAAGTAATTGGATTTTAAAGAGAGAATTCTGTGAGTGGCTGTACAGACAGAATCGGTTGCTTATAAGAAAATAATGGCCTGCCTCAGATTTTGCAAATCTCAATGCCAGAAGACAATGAATTAATCTTGTAAATAAACTCAGGGAAGGAAAGTGAGAATCAAAGCTTTCCTATTCACTGTTTGTTCTTCAATTATAAAGATTACCCTCAAATCAGTTTTGAGTTTTAAGAATGTATTGTATGTAAAATATATTGCTATGAAATGGTATTGTTTTCATGAGCCTTTAATTAAACTTCTAAAGGGTAAATGTCAACAAAACATAACAATATTAGAAGGGAAAAAGAAAATGAGATAGAATGAATTTCTCAAGTGTAATAACTGAAAATTAAAAGATAACTTCTAAAGCCTACAAATCAAATAGTATCATATTTAACAAATCAAGAATTTTTTCAGACTGTAAAATTGTGGTAATGCTTTTTAATATAGGACTTTTTAAGTAGATTATGATTCAACCCGAGTGAAGAAATACTTAAAGCCTTATAAAACAATGAAGATCTCTAGTGAGATTGAAAGTTCCAATATAATTAAAAAGCAAGATACAGAACAAGTTTATAAATATGCTATTATGTAAGTAAACATTTATGTAAAAGAAGTAAAAAATAATATGTATAATGGTATTTCTATATATATGAATTTTTAAGACTCAGGAAGGTTACACTAGAAACTATAAAAGAAAGATTATCATTTTGGGAGAAGTCTTGAGAGCTGAATGTATAGAGGACAGAGGTGGGGTGAGGTTTTTCACTTTTCTTTTCTCCATTCCTCCCTCCTCTATTCCTTCAAATCATATGCAAATATTATATATTCAAAATTACATAATTGATATATATATATACAACCAGTTATTTCCCCAAGTTCTGATCCCATATTAATTCTTAGACATAGCTTTGATGTAATTTTAGTTGGCATCTCTCTGCAAGGCATCATGGAATTTTCAACTCTTTTCAGGGTGTAATCTTGTTAGATACAGGCTTCTTGTATGAGGCTCTCAGGCCTTCAAGCTAGAGTGGGCCTGAGAATCTCATTTAGTAGTTCTGATTCATTCTTGCCATTCCATCTAGACAGAATCTCTTTACTTTCTTAGTTTATGAAATAATGAGTAACTGTTAAGGCAGATTCCATATTAAGTGAAGGTCTGCTTATTATTTTGTGTAACCTCATTTCTGGAAAATTAGTCTCAGGAAGGAATTGGATTTCTATTGTGAGTGAGCATTTTTCCCTTGAGTAATGTCTAATGTTCATTCCCCACTTAGTATGGCCGGAACAGAAGTCTTGATAATGAGATCTAACTTTGAGACTTTATGAAACAAAAAGAAAAACATGAATTTGAATTCTTCTGTTAAGGAAAGTGAAATCTGGAGATGATTTGTCAGAGTTGCCCAGACAATAAGAGTTAGATAGAGGAGGATACAACCACTTCATATATAGGGCTCTGTCTCCTGGACAGTGCTGGTTGACTTAACCATTGACACTGGATTAACACAGTGGATTGAGTTGTGGTTTTCCCCTCAAATGAAACGAATTCTTTTTTTTTAACCTTAATGCAATTACCCTTATAAAGAGATTCTCAAATTTAAGAATGCATTAGTTTGAATATATAACTTGAAAGTAGTGACCCTGCTGTCAGTATAAACATACACAATGCAGTGTAATTGCCTGTAATAAGATTGATAATTTTTGTATAATTTCAGATAAATCAAAGAGAGTGCTCATAAAGTCATAATCATGGCTTGACCTCTTTTTTAGATTACTTTTTCATAATGAATAAAGACTTATCTTCTGCAATATTTTCTAAAAGTTTTCTAGGCTCCAATATATTTTTTGTACTGCATTTCTACCTTGATATCTATATTATATTTTTAAAAGGGGTATAATCTTTGCCACCTTCACAGAATCATAATGCTTACTAAGTTAGATAACTATTATAAGATTGTAAAATATCTTACAAATACTGAGGCGGTGAAGTGAGTGTTATATGGATTAGATCTTACCTTCTCGCAGTCATGACATTCTACTCTGCCCTTTCATAACCACTCTATGCTGAGTAGTAAGATGAAAGCATCATGTTATATACTTAGAATATTCTTGTATATTAATTTTACATGGTTCTTTTTGTACATGTCTTCATATGAAGTAAGGACTGTTTTGAGTACTTTTATGTACATGTCTATTATAACAAATAATAATTTAGACAATTTTTAAATTTATGAATAATAATGGAGACAGAGGCTTTGTAAACAGATAAGTGATTTTTCATCGAGGTATTACCCACATTGACATTATGACCTTAGAGAAAGTACTTAAATTTCTCATAAGATCAATGTCCTCTTGTGTGGGGGGCAATAATACTCACCTTTCAATGTTTTTTATGAGTCAGGAAGATATTTTTTGCAAAGTATTTGGAACATTGCTTCTCAGAACTTATTCTGTCTTTATTTTCTCAAACATACTAATTTTAAATATGATTACTTGATGTTTACATTATAGTCTTTATATAGATTACATTGAAAACTCACAAATTTAATTCCACAGTTGTTTCATATACTTTATGTTTTAGACTCACTGAAATAAAAACTTTGGGAAGTAAACTGTATAACAGTGTACATTATTTTACTTTGTGTATGTAGGACCCTCAGAACTCATCAGATATTTAAAAAATAATTAAACATTTATACAATATGCTTTAATTAGCTGCTGTATACCTGGTACTATTGTTAGACTATAGAATATGGAGATTTAAAAAAGTAGTTTGAGAGTCTATTACAGCTCAGAGTTGTTGATGAAACAGATAAATAAGCAATTATAACACAGTATCAGGAATTCTATAATAGGTGAATGCACAAAGAGCTTTGGGACCCAGAAGAGTTGCTGCCTACCTTTTAGAGATAGAAGTGTGCATCCCAGGAAAGGTGACACTTGAGTTGAATCTGGAGAGAGCCAGAACCTGGAACAGGGAGCCTTCTCTTTCAGGTTAAGGAGATGGATTTCATGTTAAGATGATAAGGAGCCTGAGGAATCAGTTTTTATTTGGAACAACATGAACAGCTTTGGCATTTAGAGTAATTACCTGGAGCTGTACCTTCAAGCAATGGGATCAGTATCAGTTTTATCATCGTCTGCATCACTACCACTTATTTAATACCTGCTGTATATCTAACTCATATATACATTAGCCAATTTAATTCACCACCTTTTTAATTAGATAATAGTCTCACTGTTATTTTACAGATAAGAAAACATACTCATAGCAGTTGAAACAAGTGACTAGACACAAGAGAGAATATGTTCGATCACTTACATATTTCATTTCCCCTTTCATTTTTATTTCTCCAATCAGAAATAGAAATAAAAACCTCATCTCCACTGTAAATGTGCAGTGTTGATTAATAAATGTTTAATAATACTTGGAAATCAATATGGAAATTCTTCAAAAACTAAAAATAGAAATTCCACTTAACCCATCTGTTCCCCTTCTGAGTATCTTCCCAAAAGAATTAAATGCATCTTACCAAAGTGACACATTCACACCCATATTTATAACAGCATAACTCATACTAGCTAAATCTTGGAAGCGACCTCTTATATGTAACAACAGAAGAATGGATGAAGGATATGTGGTACTTATACATCATGGAGCACTTCTGTGCCATAAAGAAAGACAAATTTGAGTCATTTTTAGGAAAATGGATGCACCTTGCAATCATAATGTTAAGTGAAATAAACCCAAAGTATAAAAAAATGTTTTTAATAAAAGACAGTAGGAAACAGGGAGATACATCTTTTGCAAATGGGAGGGAAATCTGGAGACAGAGGTGGGGTTGGGGCTAAAAAGAATTAAGATATGTTAAGTGCATGTATCTACTCCCTAAAATGAATGTGAACATTATATACTACAAACATGAACTAATAAAAAATAATTTTAGCTTACTCCTGTCTTTAATACTTCTAAATTGCAATAGGATACAAAGCAAGTCTGTACCTTGTGATATAAAAATAAAAGGTTTGAGGAGTCTTTCAAAAAATTCTTCTGTACAGCTAGAAGCTGAGTTGCAGATGTAGCATATGCTCTTTTTTAATTCTTACCTTTTACTCCTTTTATTTCAGCTCAATCTGAAATAGAAGTGTCTGTTTCTGCAAGGAATATCAGAAGGTTACTAAGTTTCCAGCGGTATCTTAGATCCTCACGGTTTTTCCGTGGTACTACAGTTTCCACCTCTCTGAACATACTAGATGATGATTATAATGGACAAGCCAAGGTTGGTAAAGCTTTTTCAGGAAAATGTTGTTTGTTAAGTTTTCTGAAAGCCTTTTTTCTCCATATTGTACTTATTTGTACATTCTTTTCCTGTCTGTGTAAAACAATTTGGGGCATTTTTTCAGGTTTATTTCATTTAAATAACTTTGTTTTATATTTAGGAGTGGCAGAACAAAGGAGATTTGAGAAATAACTAAAATAATGAAAATGTTTTCATTTGTTATAACATTAAGTAATAAGTAGATCAGTAAAACATTAAATACAATTTACAAAGGTTATTCAAAATCTTAATGCTGGGAAGAATATTAGAGATTATCCAGTATAATATTTCTAGTCTAATAGTAAGAAAACTGAGACCTAAAGGGCACAGGTAACTTGAGTTAACCCAGCTGGTTAGAGGTAAACCCAGAAGCACATGATGTTTAATTCCATGATTTTCAGTCCAATGCATTTAGTATAGATTCTTACATCAAAGAGAGATTTTGAGTATTTAGACATGTTTTAATTAATCCTAATTCATCTTCAGATACTTTAAAAGAAATGTCTTAGTTAAGATTGAAGTTAAATGAGTTGTTTTTTAACAAATGAGGATTTTACATAATCTTGAGTTTTGATGTATTCTAGTAAGCCAGCTTGGGACTTAATATTTAGTGGCCAGTATTTGTAAATTTGTGTAGAATAGAATGCAGTACATTTTTAACAATTATATTACATTGAAAAACGTTGCTTCCCTGTTTGATAAATCACTGAAAAATCTTTGCTTTCTTTAAACTTCAGAAAGTTTCAAGCTCTGCTTTTTAAACTGATAATATTGATCTATATATCATTGTTATTTGTACTATAATCAACAATCTCTAGTGGTATCTTAGTGTTGCTTATGTCTAATTATCCGTAAATGTATACCACAGTAAACCTGTAGATACAAAAAGAAAAGCTTTTTTCTTGAGAAAGTGCACAAAATGTTCAGGTTAAGAATATATGGTGTAGGGCTGGGGATTTAGCTCAGTGGTTCCACTGCCTGTCTTGCAAGCACAAGGTCTGGAGTTCAATCCCCAGTACCAAAAAAGAAAAAAGAAAGAAAGAAAGTTGAAAGACTAACCTGACCTATATATTCATTAACTGAAACACAAGATAATAATTTCATTTTTCAAATGGAGTTTATTCCTTTGGACATTTTTTGTAGCTCATTGGAAAAGTCATGATTAAAAGAAAAATAATACTTGGCATTTCTTAAATGTTACTTCCATTTTCATTAACTTCTCTATGGACTATCTAAAATGAAGCAGAATGTTATTAAAAAGAAAGTACAGTAGGACTGTTTGGTTTTCATTTCAGTGTATGCTGGAAAAAGTTGGAAATTGGAATTTTGATATCTTTCTATTTGATAGACTAACAAATGGTAAGTGAAGAATTTATCTTACTCAAGTAGCCTCTAGATTTTACAGTAATGGTACAGCCATTGGTGGGTTGTTGCTTTCTTAACTTGGGTTCTGAGCCAATCTGTTGCAGAGGGAACGTCATATTGTGCCTTTCCTAGTGATTTTTCTAAAAGCTAACAGAAATGATCTCGCAGCTTTATGTTTTTATTACTAGCCATGGCAGTAATCAAAAGTCATTATCACCAAGTATTTTGGCACCCACCTATAATCCAGCTAGTCAGGAGTCTGAGGCAGGAAGCCCACAATTATGTTCAAGTTCAGCCTGATCAACTTAGTGAGACCCTATCTAAAATAAAATTGAAAAACAAAAAGGCTAGAAATGTAGCTCATAGGTAGAGTTGCCTAGTGTGAGATCCTGATTTCAAGCCCTGGTACCCAACCCCCCACTCTAAAAAATCCTTCAAAACTTGGCTGCAGTTAATGTTGCTGTTGTTAGTATCCCAGCGTGAACTTCAGTATCTCATTATGGTCTTGATTTTTCCTATTGGTTTCTTTTAGATTGTGTTATTTATAGTGCTATTTTCAGATCTATCCTGTGTGTGGATAGCACAGATGAGAGGATTAGCTACCTTCCGCAAGATATCTTTTCTAGACTTGCATATTACCAGTGTAGTGGTTCTTTCTGGTTCACATGCAGCAGATAAGCAGAATCTGTAGAGAGTAAGAGTGGTTTGAAAAAGATTACGACAGGTGATTCTCATCTGCCCCAACACCTCCTGAGTTTGGTGTAGCTTTGTTTGGGAAAGGGTTGTCATATTTTCATTTAGGATAAAATGTTTAACAATTCTCAGTGGTTCAGCTAGCCTTTGCCCCTTCTATTTAAACAGCTTTTTAATAAAGTGAAACAGAAAGTACACAGAGAGAATGCCATTTCTATTTGGAATGATGAATAAATATATGGTTCACTACAATAATATCACCTATTTTTTCTTTCTTTTTTTTTTTTTTACTTTGGGAGGCGGTTCCTTTCATAAAGAAGCCAATATAGTATGTAAAATGGACAAGCAAACAACTTCATAGTCGTTAGCATTAATATTACTTTAAGTATTACTACAGTATTTCCTGTAGGCTGTAAGAAAAAGTACCACTGTAGGCACCTTCGACTTGTGTATGCATTATGGACAAGTAGATTGAACTAATTCTCAACAAAGTGGTGAAGACAGACAGGAATTCCTTAACGTTTTTTTTGTTGTTGTTGTTACTGGGGATCAAACTCTGGTCCTTGCACTTTCTAGTAAGGTGGTGGAACCACTGAGCTAAATCCCTGACCCTAGCAAAGATTCTTTACTGCCCATTTTCCTGCCTTTTTTCTTCCTTTGTTTTTCTTTTCTGCTTCTTTTTGCCACTTGGTGATTAGAGGCCTGTTAATCTCTCTGCCTCACTTAGTGGCCTGTGGGACAGACTCACGTGTCATCACACAGTTGGCCTTCCCTCTAGCTGTCTCCTTTTTGAAATTACAGGTAGTAAAATATCAGGTGACCTATCTCCTTCTAGATCTGAGAAATAACTCTTTTCCTAACTCAATACAAATATTAATATTAATTCATAGATGAAATTAATGCATCCCTTAGCACTTTCAAGGTTTAGCCTTATATAAATAAACTCTCATAGCTCATAGCCTATTATTAGGCTCTTGAATGCCTGTCATTCATTAAAATAGTACATTATTCTTCTCTAAACTTTATTTTTTTAAAATGCAGGCCTTGCCAGTTAGGCTTGGTGGTGAAAGTAGAATGAGATTGAAAGTGTGTAAGATGGTCAATACAGAGTACAGAAGCAGTGGCTATCACCTCTATTGCTTAAATGCTTTCCTGTTGATCACCTCACTTTTTGAACCAGCTTTGTGGACAGGGTGGTTGAATGATTTCCTCTTAGAGTTGATTCTCAATCTTTAGGGGTTAGTAAAAATCCACCCATAGTTAGCCCCTATCTTTGATTTTGTAGGAGGTAATATACATTCTGTTGAATATAGCAACCTAAAAGTTAAAGGATCCTTTACTTGAAGAGATATTGGCAGAAATTCCTTCAACTTGCATTATGTAATTAGAATGCATTTCCTTTAACAACTGTTTAGTCTGCAATTTATTATGGATGATATGTGTTCATTGTATCCAAGTGTGTAGTTTTCCCTTCTCTTTTATTAACCCAACATTTTTTTTTGTATTTCTTATTTTGGTAATTTCTGAGATTATACAGGGAGAGGACAGAAGGGAAAACTCAGCAATTCATGCCAAGATCAGTGGTCTTCAGCTTGTCTGCTCCAGGGAGGAAAATAGTTATTGTCTGGTAGATACATTTGGTATTCCTTTTGTAGTGATGAGAGTGAGATAATGTAACACAGCAAGATATAACTTGTTGCCTCTGAAAGCTGCCTGGTTTATGAGGACATATATTGTGAGCCTGTGCTGTGGTACTATCTCTCATCCAAGATCATTTTCTAAAAATTATCAAGGGCTACTACATCATAAGCAGTTCTGTATTTCAGTTTATTTTATGTGGGTAGCTTTTGTATAAAGAGTTATGTTCAAGAAATTATTTCCATTTCCATTTTTAAAAGCTCTTCTTTGCCTTTTAACACAATTAAGCATCTGTTGTTTTGGAATTTTATTGACTTGAGTTCTTATTCACTGGTATTAAAATAATATTTTGTGAACTGACAGGAGAGGGAATGTTGCATGCAATTTTTAACTCCATATGAATATGCTGTAATATACTAGGTCTTGGTTCTTTCTATCAAAGTTTTTTAATGAAGGGTGTTATATGTATCTCTTATCACCGTTTGCCTGAGTTCCAAAAGAGGCCATTTTCCCATTAGATGGTAGCTTTAATAATTTATTCCAGACCCTAGAAATTGGTCATTTGTTTTCATAGATTTGAAAAACAATTTTGGCAGAACCCAATGATAACTTAAATATACAGAATGAATATATGTATCAGTCACTGCTTACTAGAGAAACAGATTTAATGCAATATATACAAATATATATCAGTTTACACACACACATATATAACAATTTACACATATACACAAAAAGAAGAATTTACAAGATTGGTTTACAACGGCTGCCCATAGATTCAGATGTAGAAGTGTACAAAAGGTCTGTCTGCCCACTGGCGATCTGAAGGATCCAGTCAAAGCCCTGGAGCTACTGTAGTAGCCTGTGCAATTCTATATCAGGAGGCCAAAGGGTCTGTGCTAGATGCTGAAGAGTCTGTACTGAAAGCCCAAAGGTGACTTCTAAGGTGAAAGTGAAGACTGAAGCTCCTCAAACAGAAGCAAGCCTTCCTTCTTCATTTCCTTTTTATACCCTTTTGGTGACAAGTCTCTTTAGGGTGGGTCCTCCATACCCAAAACTATGCTGATCTAATTTAGTTATGTGTTTCTTACTCAAGTTGACACATTCAATTGGTTAACTGCCACAATCCACCCTTTGTCAACTTGACAACCAAATACATTTCTTTAAAGCATAGTCTCCAGATACAAAGACAAGTTCATAGCTGGGCATGGTGGTACACACTTATAATCCCAGCACTTGGGAGGCTGAAGAAGAAGGATCACTGCGAGTTCAAAGCCAGCCTGGACTACATAGTGAGACCCTGTTTCAAATAACAATAACAAAAAGCCAAGTTCATAATTATGCCTAACATGTTATACTGTCATGCATACAAAAGGAAGCACTCTAACCCCCCCAATAGTAGAAGGCAAGTTTTCTTTGAGTAATGCTTACTCCTAACATTTCAAAACTTGAAGATTATAACATAGGCTTAACAATACTTAAAGAGTCAATATTGTCTGTCAATATTATATTACATAGGAAGCACATGAGGAGGGAACTATTACAATTACAATCCTCATTTTTGTAGATGGTCACAGTGTCATGGCTGGTATTTAGAACAACTACCTTCTTCTACTAACCATTCTGTATTCTCTTGGCCTTCATCAGGTACCTCAGAAGGTCTTCATTCTTTCCCTGGTGGGGTGGCCCTTACCTTCATTCCTGAAGGTTCTCGACCATTTATCATTCTACCTGGATTGGGTTGTTGTTTCCTATTGACTTCAATAACAAGACATGGTGACAGTAGGGGTGTCCTAGAGGAAATCCTGCACTCTACATATATTCTTCCTTTGCTCCATTATGGAATAATAGTACAAATTCCCCTTGATAATCTGGGTCATTCACCCCACACTGTAACTCCCTTTTTAGCTTGTTTACTCAGAGGCATGAGGAGACCAAAATGACCAAGGAAAAGTTTTAGCTTCCAGTTCAGTGGTATCATTGTTGTGCTTGCTAGTACAAGGTTTCCTCCCTCTGAAAATAAGACTTCTAAGCCAGGAGAGCATAAGGCCATAGGAATAGGAAGCAAAAACTTTGCTAGTGGATCACTAATCGTAATCGTGAATGGTACCATTGCCACTTCTTGAGTCCTAGGCCTGTGAATCCTGGTTATGAAAGATACAGTACCATATAGTGAACACTGATTCAAAGCATATAGCCTTTTGAAGAACCTTGCCTCATCCCTGTAAACTGTTGCCAACCAGCTAGCACTGTAACTGTGTCTTCAAAAGACCATTCCAGCTGGGGATTTAGCTCAGTGGTTCCACCGCCTGGCTGGCAAGCTCAAGTTCCCAAGTTTGATCCCCAGTACAAAAAAAAAAAAAAAAATGACCATTCCACCTTTCTTTCAATCCAGCCACTTCTGGATGGTGAGGAACATGGTAAAACCAGTGAATTCCGTGAGCCTGAGCACATTGCCTCTGTTCTTTGGCTATAAAATGTGTTCCTTGGTCAGAGGCAACACTGTGGAATTCCGTGATGGTGGACAAGGTATTCTGTGAGTTCAAAAATGGTAGTTTGGAGAAACATTATATACAGGGAAGGTAATTCCATATCCAAAATAAGTGTCTGTACCAGTAAGGACAAAGCACAGTCCTTTCCACAATTGCTGCAATTCAATATCA